ATGGGTCCATAACCTGGTGGTGGTCCGTAAAAAGGATAATTCTCTTCGAGTATGCCTTGACATGCGACGTCCAATCAACGCTGTCACCTGAAAACTCTACCCGATCCATACCCGGTACCGCGTATCGACGTAGTCCTAGAGAAAATAGGGGGACACCAGTTTTACACAACACTAGACCTGGCAAGTGGATATCTTCAGCTGCCCCTCGATGAGGAAAGCAGTTACAAGTGTGGGGTAATTACCGAAAATAAGGTATACCAGATGACTCACCTCCCTTTCGGACTGAAAGCGGCGGGGAGTTATTTCGCGCGTATCATGGCAAAAGTACTGGGTGGTCTTGACGATTGTGTCCTGACCTATATTGATGATATCCTCATTTACAGTAAAAATTTCCCCACTCATTTAGAGGCAATTAAAAAGGTATTGTCGCGATTGCGCCAGTTCCACCTTAAAGCATCACCTAAGAAATGCGTCTTCGCTAGAAACCAAATTACCTTTTTAGGCCACGTCATAAATGAGAATAGCTACTCCCCGGCGGAAGCAAATACCAGAGCGGTTCGCGAGTTCCCTACGCCCCGTAACGTTAAAGAGGTAAAACGTTTCCTTGGGATGGTAGGATTCTTTAGAAAATTCATACCTATTTTCGCAAATATCGCTGAACCATTAACCTGGCTTACTCGGAAAGACAATAAATTTCAATGGACGGATCAGCAGGAATCTGCCTTCATAACTTTGCGTGACGCGCTCATTCAGAGACCAATATTAGGGTTCCCAAATTATGAAAAACCTTTCCACATTTTTACAGATGCCAGTGCGGTAGCACAGGCAGGCGCATTGATGCAAGAGTTTGAAGAAAGTCAAAAACGATTTTACGCAGTGGCATACTGCAGTCGTACGCTAAGTGACACCGAACGCAGGTGGCCGGCAGTTCAAATCGAGCTAGGTGCAATTATATATGCGTTGCGGCAATTCAAGCCCTATATATGTATGACAAAAGTAGTGCTCCATAGCGACCACAAGCCCCTCACCTTTCTACTTAGCAAAAGCAAAACCCATGACAATCTCGCCCGGTGGCTCATTGAGTTACAGAGTTATGACATTAAGGTCGTGCACATCAAAGGAAAACAGAACACAGTTGCTGACGCACTTTCGCGCGCGACTGAAGACAGCAATGGATTGTGTCATTCGAGCGAAGAGCTCAATGATATTTTAGAATTTCCGGTTAGCTTACCATTGTCGTTTGCTCTTACAC